GTCCTCGTCCGTAACTTGCAGCCTGCGCACCTTTATGATGCGTGCTGGGATCTCGTCCTTATAATCCTCGAAGTTGGGGACTTGGTCCAATTCTTCGTGTGGGCCTTTGTCATCGTCCCGTTCGAGTGGCCATCTGGACGGTGCGTCGGCATTGTCACAGAATGTGCCTGGTTTGTACTCAATGGTGATGTCCCGTCCCTGTAAGTCAAGGGCCCATCGAGTAAGACGAGGATTGATGCCGGGCCGGTTAGACTCGCATCTGAGCAGATTCGTTAAGGCTCTGTGGTCCGTCCTTACTGTGAAAGGTCCATGGTCAATGTAGTGCTTAAACTTTTGGACGGCCTACACTACGGCTAAGCATTCCCATTCGGTCACGCCGTAGTTCTTCTCAGCTCCATGTGGGACACGACTTGCGTAGGCAATTGGCCTCGAGTCCTGGCTGAGTATGGCTCCGATGCCAGCGCCACTTGCATCGCATTCGATGGTGGTCTGTTTGGTCGCATCGAATTTGGCCAATATTGGGGCTTCCGTTAGGGCCTTTTTAATTTCATTGAACTCTGCGGTGTGGGCGTCGGTCCAGTCGTTCTTCACTGAACTTTCCTTCCGCAGGAGTTCATACATCTTGGAAGTCTTCTGGGCGTAGCCCAGAATGAACTTCCGGTAGTAGTTAGCGAGTCCAAGAAACGAGCGAAGTTGACGCTCGGTCTTGGGCGGTAGCTTCTCGGCGATGGCCGCTACCTTCTCGGGATCAGTATGGACACCGTCCTTGCTGAGGATGTGTCTAAGGAATTGGAGTTTTTCCATTCCAAATTCGCATTTCGACGGTTTTATTGTGAATCCGGCGTCTCTGAGGCAAAGGAGCGTGTTTCTAAACGCTTTCCTGAATTCCTCGAATGTCTTGCCGAAGAATATCACGTCGTCGATGTATGCGAAGACGCCGCCTTGTTTGCGGGCCGGCGCCATAATCTTGTCCATTGTCATTTGGAATGTGGCTGGCCCGTTGCAGACGCCAAACGGCATTCGTTTGAACCGGAACATCCCTTCTGGAGTCACGAAGGTAGTGTAGTCCATGGACGCTGGGTCCATAAGGATTTGCCAGAATCCGGACTGACAATCTACCTTGCCGTAATAGGCGTTGCCTGCACATTGATCCAGAAGTTCGTCTGGATTGGGCAATGGGTAATTATTCTTCTTGGTCACCGAGTTCAGCTTTATGTAATTTATGCAGAACCGGGTGCCCATGGTCCCGTCGCCGTTTTTCTTCGAAGCGAGGACCACTGGGAAACTCCACGCTGCCATGGACGATTCAATTACGCCTTGGTCCAACATTTCTTGGACGTGCTTGTTTATGAACTCTCGTCCCTTCCAACTCGTTCGGGTTGGGTTCATTTTAATTGGTGCAGCGTCGCCAACTTCTATGACGTGAGTCACTCCTTTGACGTCACCGTAAGGCTTTTTGGACGTCGGGAATATGGCCCGGAGTTCCCATAAGTCCTGACGGAGTAGAGCGGTCTGCTCTTCGGTCAGGTGATCGCCGAAGTGTGCATTAGCGATCTGAGCGCGGATTTCGCGCTCCACTTCAGGATCTTCCTCTCCGGTTTGGAGGGAATTGATCTTGGCATAATCTTCCTCCGAGATTTTCTCGTATGGCTCCACTTGGCCCATGTTAACTCCTTTCCGGAGTATATGGGGCTCTTTGGAGTAGTTTGACACCAGTCTGGTGAAACTGTTGCCATCATGCTGGACTGGTCCGTCGAGCATGGCCAGACTCCGTTTGGTGTCTTGGCTTCCGAGGTATATGAATTTCTGTCTCGGGTCGACGGGAAAGTCAATGCTGACTTGGACCGGGGTGATGGACTCCGGTGGGAGCTCCACTTTTACAGTTGCCCGGACCATAGCATGGTCGTTAATAGCGCGGTACCGATTTGGATTATTCCCTGCCGCTTTTGGCCATGGTAAGGCGTCGGCATTGGGAATTGACCAATCTACGCCGTCCTCCTTGATGTCTGGCTCATATATGTCGCTGTAGTACATGTGGCCAACTTTTGCACCTTTGCGGAGGATTTGGTCGCGTCGGGACTTATTTTGGACCTGAATCCACGCGTGTTCGCTGTTTCGAGTTTGGACCTCTGCTTCGATCGGTATGACCAAGCGGTGTGGTCTTCTCAGCGATTTAAAGTGGATTGGCCGTCCCGGGTCCATAGTCCGATAGGACCGGACCTTAATCCAGCAAGTTGAGTAGGCTGGTAAGGTGTACCGCTGATGAACGAAGACGACCTTTCTCTCTTCCTTGAGGCAGTCCGTTGGACGTTCGGTCCGCAATTTGCGGATTACCGGTGCTTCGGCTCGGAGTTGGAGAATTTCTGTGTCCTCTTCGTCATCACTTGACTCCTCCGATGATTGGTTATCGGAGTCCGTGTCCGGTGAGTCACTAGAGCTCTGGACGTCCGAATCGGTAGACTCGGGTTTGTCGTCTTGCTCGGGTTTTGGCTTGCCATTGTCCTCGTTAGAGGTTGGCGCGCCGCCGGCCACTGTTGGTGCCGGTTTGGTCACGAGATCCACTTCTTGGATCTCTGGCGCTCCGGTTGCGATTTCCTGTTTTTCAGGTTCGTCCGGTCCCGCCAAAGTGGTTGGACGGCTCCCGTTGGGGAGTGGCGAGGCTGGTCGGCCTTTTGCCCAACGTTGAGATGAACGGGTTTGTATGGCCCGTATCACCGCTTCAACGCCGTCTCCACATAGAGGACAAGTCAATTGGACTTCCTCTGGTGAAGGGTCCTGCTCATTCTGGCTGGTGTCCCTTCGATGGCCCCCCTGTTCTCGGTGTGGGCCATCCTTGAAGCGCACTCTTGTCGCTATATGCGGTGCAGCTTCCGGCAATGGTTCCGGTATAGTCCTGACGTTAGTCAGGCTCAAGTCATATTTTGGCCATATGCTGACGGTTAAGCCAGGGTGTTGGGCCATTTGTCTTCGAAGCGTTATAATGTCATCGAAGAGATCCGTGCACATCTTTTGGAGTGCTTTCGGCATTTCCATGTGGTACTCTCTGTATTCCCACACTAGGGCTAGACGTTCGTCCTCCCATAATGCTCCTTCTTGAACCAAATCGTCCAATTCTTGGGCGAATGGTCCGTATTGTGCGGCAATTTGCGGCCACGTTAGTGGTTCGCCTTTTTCTTCAAGCCAGCCCTCTTCTAGGGCAAGGATCCGGCCAGCGCGGTATTCGAGGAAATTTCTAACCCCAGTAAACCAAGTTTTGTAGCGCTGGACCAGTTTCTCCTTAATTTCTCTGTCAGGCACCGGCCGTTGGCCCGGTGCCTCTGGTATCGGGATAGTCTTTACTATCCCGTGATTTGGTTTGGGTATGCCTGCGCGGAATTGGGTCATGTAACGCTCGATTGCGTTATGGACGCGCAGCTCCCATATGAGGCTTTCAATGGTGTCCAGGCATTCCCAACAGGTAGAAGGAGAACTTTTCGGGTGATCAAGCCGATTAACTCTCACTTCATCATCGGGTCCCGGTGCCCCTGGTATCGGGATAGACTTTACCGCGTCCCAAACGATTTCTTTGTTTGGCTTGAGGATGAACGTAAACTTGGAGTGGAGGTAGTCACAGCCAAGCAGTACGTGCACGTCCGTTAACGTCGGTTGGACGAAGAACGTGTGGTGGCTCTTGTATCCCTGCAGTGTCACCGGTACGGTGCAGCAGTGGGAGACCACGAAGGCGGTTTGTCCGCCGACACCAAGGATTTTGGTGTTCCGTCCTAATGGCTCTGTTTTGATACCATTGGCGGTGCAGAATTGCTGGCAGATGAGGGATGTCTCCGCTCCAGTGTCCAGCATGGCGAGCGTGTGGACTGGTCCAATTTGGACTTTGTGTGTCCATGCTCTGACGGTCTTCGGTTTTCGATTTTCGTCGAGGCCAACTGTCACTTCCCGCATCACCGGTACTATGGGGATTAGCGACACTGGTCCTGGATCGTCAGGAGCGTAGTGAGGTGAAGGTGGCTCCTGTTGGACAGACTCTTCCTGTGGTGATTTTTCCGATACCCGTAGGGTCGAAAACATACTTTTGGTGTTACGGAAGGTCCGTGAGCTATTTATGGTTCGCACCGTTGGTGTGGTGCCGAGGGGTTGTCCACGGTTCTGGAGCTCACAGATCCGAGGAGTAGACGCCTCGAGAGGTTCGGTTGTCCAGTCTTTTAGGGATCCGACCTCGCTGTCCGTATCTTGTACGGACCATCCTTCCGGTGCGCTGTCGGAGGATGTGTCTGACGCCAATTGTGGATACGTCATATTCGTGGTGCGACGTCTCGCTTTGCCACGTGTTCGGTTGGCCTTTAGGTTGGTTGAGGCTCCGAGTTTTGGGGATCGGTTGGCCTTGGGGTTAGTTGAGGCTCCGAAAATCGACTTGGTCGCCTGCAGTGCGACTGTCGGCCTGGCATCACTTTTAGAGCCAGGTGGCTTAGGCGCAGGTTTGGCGCAAAGCCTGGATCCGCTGGTAGGCTGTTGAGCCATATGGGTTAGTTTGGGATCCATTGGGGTTAGTAACTGTACAGAAGTTATGTCCGGCGGTTTAGGTTCCGGTCTTAGGTCAGGTGAGTTGCCGATACTCCCCGACCTTAGGCGTTTCCCGCGGTTGGGCTGGCCCGGCTAGGGCCACCGCCGCTGTTGCCATTTGGCTTTACCAGCTGGTCCGGTATGGGTGGTAGCGCTGCCCTTTCATTGGCTGGCGTCTGGTATCCCTGTTTTGGACCATTCTGCCGGTTGCCGCCACCGGACCCACTTCCTGAGCCAATGGACTGCCTTCGTCTGCCTGTCCCCCCATTACCACGTGGTGGTCTGGGTTGTTTGGGTGGCACTAAGCCGAGGCGGTTAGGATTGGCTGACCCGGTAGGGTAGCCTTTCTGATAGCGATTTCGCCAATCCAAATACCATTTCCGGTTTGGATTTTCGCATAATGGCCTGTTTGCATAGCCACAGCCGTCGGTTGCGTGGTTTCCTCACAGGCAGTGGTTGCAAGTGATAATCCCATCTTTGGCCCATCGCTCGAACATGCGCTCGACTCGGTCGATGTACATGTCCTCTTGTCTGCGGGCCTCTTCGGGGCTCAGAGTCTGGCGTTGGCCACTCTGGCCTCCCGGGCTTCGGTTTTGTCCTCCAGGGCTGTTGCCGCTTTGGTTTCCGCTAAAGCTGGCATTTTGGCCTTTGGAGAACTTGCCCTTTGGTCCTCCGCCGCTGTTGCCCTGGCTGTAGCCATAGTTGCCCTGGTTTCGGACCTGGCCATAGCCGCCACTACCGCCGTTGGGCGGTGTAGACCCACGTTGTGGGGAGGCTAAGTTCAAGGCCGCGATGGCGGCGTATGTTGCCTCAATTCGGGCTTGTGTAGCTTGCGGGGGATAGAGTGCCGGTTGTTGTGGTACGACTTGGGCTGGTGGCGTTTGTATGGCCGTTCGGATTGTTGGGTATCCGCGGCTTGCCTTCCCTTCGTACTCCGGTTTTCCCATTGTGTACTGCCGGACATAGCCCCGGAATTCTGCTGGTGACTTTAGTATCCGGATGTCCAGAGCGCGGCGCAGTTCTGGCTCATTCACATTCTCTCTCAAGAAGTGAAGTGTCATGGTGTCGTCCAAGCCAGCGCGCGTCTGGAGAGTCAGCATGGCGTCGTAATACTGCTCAGGGGTTTCGGTCAAGTGTTGGTATTACCGATGGGCGATTTCTCCCATGGCAGTGGCCTGCTGATTATCATCGCCATATCGAGTGGCAAACTTCTGGAGCCACTCTTCCACTGTCCAGCCGTCCTCGTCTTCTCGATTGGCTTGGCCAGTGTACCATTCTTTTACAGGGTCCGATAGGGCCATGTAAATGCGGCTCATGAAGTCCGGATCTGGTTTGTTCAGATCGGATGACTGCTTACAGATCCGTCGGACCTGTGCAAGCCATCCTTTCACCATTGTTTTGTTGCCGTCAAATTTTGGCAACTCGGTGCGGACTTGAGCTCTCGCGTTAGCTTTTCCCATCTCTTGGGCCATTTCCTTGATTTGCTCTCTGGTTGAGAGAGCTGGACTGACCGGTGGTGATGGGGCCGGTGTTGGCTGCTGTGGTATTAGCGGCACTTGCTGAGGTTGGGCCCACACTGGTTGGCCCGGTACGATCTGGATAGCCCCGTTGGACGCCATCCATGCGTATGCTCCATTCGGGAGCTGGACCAACATGGGCGCATTTTGGCCTTGACCTGGTTGAGCCGCTGGTCCTGGTGGCATGGCCGCTGTTGGCGGTATGCCTGGTGGTTGGGGCACATTTTGGCCCGTGGGCGTCGTTTGGCCCATCTGTGGCTGAGCTTGGCCCGTTGGGGCTGCCGCCGTGATAGGAGGGCCAAATAGTTGGCCTACTAGTGGTTGTTGCACCGTTGGTGTACCACTTTGGCCTCCCATCTGTCCTTGCATGGCCGATGGCCCGAACATTGGGCTCAGCGGGTTGGTCCGGTTTGGATCAGCGCCGCTGGTCTGAGCCTGGCTTGTGGCCGGATGTGGACTAAAGTTGAAGTCCATGTTCGGGAATATCGTTGGGTACAAGGACGGATACGATGGCTTTGATCCAAAGTAGCTGTGGCTGGGTATCGCCTGACTTGGATCGAAGCCTAGCCCACTTAACGTAGACGGATGAGTCTGCGTTGTGGGCGTCACTATCGTCGTTGGACTGATAGTGGCGGTTGTAGTGACCGGGACTGGTGGTGGCGGCAGTGTTATTGTCGCCGTTGATGTTCCGCGGTCCACCGGGCTGGGAGGCGCAGGTATGGTTGGCCCCTTTGGGGGATCTCCAACCAGTGGTCCTTCCACAGCCATGTTCACTTGATAGTTCTGCTGGTGATACACTGGCTCTCGGTAGAAGCGTTGGCCCTGCCGCAGAGCCTCGTCGACTTTTTCTTGTCGACGTTGTGTATCCGAGTCTGGAAAGGTATGGTAGGACGGTGGTTCTGCGGACAACTCGGAGTTGATATCTGCGAGATGTGATTTCTCCGCATCTAAGCAGGCGTTTTCCGTGCTTAGCCTTTCCAGTTCCTCGTTCATTTCGGTTATGCGTTGTGTGGCCGCCTGGTAGTCTTTGACCAGGCCGGCATTATTGGCCTCCAAAACGATGATCCGGTCTTGTTGGCCCTGGATCACCTGTTTGGCTTGATTGAAGGCCTGCTCCAATTGGACGAAGTTTTGATGCCCAATGGCGCTGTTCTGCTCAAGTTGGACCCGAATGGTTGCTTCGGTGTTGAGCTGGCTCTGGAGGGCAACGATCTGTTGCTGGAGTTGCACGTTCTGTGCCTCCTTCTGCTGAACCGTTTGGCTCATCAGTCCTCCTTGCTGGATGGTCTTCATGAGATTCTGGTGGCTCTCATAAAGAAGGTTGTATCCATTCCGCAGACGGTTGATTTCGTCCTGCAGATTGGACAAGTCTTCGGTGAGACGTTTGTTTTCCCTCTGTAGGCGGTCCGCCTCAGAGTCGGTGTCGTCAATGGTGGTCCGGGCCGCAGCCAAGTCGTCCCTGGCTTTGGCCAGCTCGGTCCTCGTAGAGGTGAGCAGGGCTTCAAGGCCCGCCACAGCCGTTTCTAGGCTGTGGATTGTCCTATTGAGCTGGTCTCGCTCAGCATTAGGACATGGTGACAACTTGAGCTGGGTTAGCTCAAGTTGGGTCTGGGCCAGTATGGCCGAGACACGTTTAACCTCTGCGTCCGATTGGAACGCAAGGTCTTTGTGTCTGCAGATCTCGTCCTGCATCCATCGTTCAGATAGCAGGGAAGCTTCTGCGATGTCCGCCAGCTGTTTGGTCAGGTCCCGTACTGTGGTCCGAAGTTGGTCGACTTCGTCGAGTTCCTCGGGCCGGGTTGCCTGGATCAGCTTTGGCGGGCTGACGTTGGCGCGGCCTGTGTCCCAGGAGGGCTGGTTAAGGTCCATCCTGGCTGTGGCCCTGTTAAGTTGGGCCAGATCCACAATTGGCTCTCCGTCCGGTCTGGACGGGCCGAGCGCGCCGATGACGTCATTGGTCGGCGATGGCGTTGTGTAAGTTGGGCCATCGTCCTCAAACATGAGTGGCGACTGACTTGCGGGCTGTTGGCCCTGGTCTTGTGCCTTTGGACCAGCCTTTTTGGCTTGGCCCTTTGCCTTGCGTCCACCTTTGGCCACCGTTGGTGCCTCAGGTTGGATCTGGTCCGAGCCCGGTAGGGTTGGACGTGCTGTCAGATCCTGGACATCAAGGTTGGACCGGGCCAGGTTGTTTGGCTCTGGTCCATCGGTGCGTGTCTTGTCCTCACCTGTGGCTGCCGTTGGCGCCGCAGGTTGGACTTGGCCCGGACCAGGTATGGCCGGTTGGTGCGCCAAGTCCCGAGGGACACTGTTGGCCTGGGCCGTCCTATCGGCGCCAGGTTGGTTGTCCAGAGGCTGGTTGGCCTCGGACAGTTCGTCGGATGCCTCCTGGAATGTGTCGTCCCGGGTGGCGTCCAGACTTTCGTCGCTGGTTTCCAAATCGGCCGGCAGGATTTGTCTGTCCCGCCTGGCTTTGGCCTCGACTGAACTCGTTGAGCCGGCCGAGTTTGGCTCGTCTGGTTCAGAACCGCTCTGTTTGGCCCTGCGGAAACCGTAAGTTCCCGGTGGGTCGCGTGTGGCATAGTTCTTCCCCAGTTGCTTCTTGTATTCGTTAGGTTGGCGCCCGTCCATAGGACTGAGCAATCTCCGTTGGAGTTGCTCATGGCTGGTGTATGGCATCACCTTGGCCAAGGCGCTTTCGATTTGGCCCATGGTATTGGGACTTGAAAAATTTCTTTGGTCTTGGTCCGGACCGGAACGGTGGGTTGGCTGTCGCTGGTTAGTGCTGGTCAGGTGTGCTAGAGCTTAGGATTAGCGTTAGCTCCCTATGGCCCTAGTTTACGTTACTGACCAGTGTGATGTCACGTACGAAATGGTCTTGCAAAAGCTCTACGTCACGAGTAGCGTGCCGTGAGCAAAATTCAAAAAACAATATGACTCACTACGAGTCTTATAACATGGGGAAGTTTCCCACGTGTTCTGATTGGTCAAATTTTTATGGAAAGTTACCACAGTGACGTCACGCGACTTTTTCGCAAAAATTCCGGCTGGACAAAATGGCGGTTGTTTTTCGCCGATAATTCGTCAAAAATTAGGTAAAAATTTTTCGAGAGTTCTGTTACACTTTTCTAGTGCAGAATTTCTCAAGAAATCCGAAAATGCTAGTTTTACGCAAATCGGATAAGCGGTTCAAAAGTTATAGAATTTCAAAATTAGGTTCTACGCGGAAACCTCCAAATTGTGAAAGTTCTACGAAAACCTACGACGCCACAGCAGGTCTTACCGGCGGTTTGTTCGCTCCAAACTGCTGCTCCGTCGTTCCTCTTCACCCTCTTCTACCGTGAGGGCCGCAGCGCACCCGATAGGGCGTAATGGTGTGTCAGGACCGTACCGAACGCAGTTTTTGCGCCGGGAGCCAAAGCTGCGGGAGGTCTACTTATAGACGCTGACCCGTATCAACGCAACCCGGTAGGGTGCTTATTTGGTCAACTGGATCGTACCCAACTCAGTTTTTGAGCGGGGAGCCAAAGCTGCGAGGGACCTACTTATAGGCGCCGACCCGTATAAATAATCCGTCGCGCAGCAGGCTTCCAATGAAGCCTGTATGATGCAGGAGATGGTGGTCGCGGGATTGCTGGCCTACTTATAGGCGATCAGCGTAGTTCGACCGATTGTTGCCTTCACTGGGAATCAGAGGTCTCGCAGGAAAGAAAACCGAGCGAGTCTGCTACCATGTCAGATATGACACAGAAGCAGATGGAAAATGGGGCAAATAGCCTTTATTGTGAGAACAATAAAGCAACAACAACACAAAAACCAACAGAAAACCCGATGTGGGGAAAAGCTGTGGAAAAAAGTGCCTGCAGTGCGCTAGCTAGGAATCGTGATAATGATTCCGCGTGCTGCCGGTGTGCAACAGCTGATGCTGCAAAGCACGGAATCGCCCGTAGGCGCTGGGCTCCACCCCCAAGAGTGCAAGGAAATGCGCTGATTGGTCAGCGTAGACAAAGTGTACGCTGAGTAAGCAGCGTAATGTAGCGGCACGAATGGCGTTGCCATGTGCGGGCGGGCGACAGAGAAAGCCACGAGAGGTGTCTACCGCCTCGAGTGAGCGGTCTTTGACAGCGTCGACCTAAATGTGCTCTCCATAAAATAATTTCCGTTTGAAAACCAAATTTCCGCTTACATTTGCGGGCTACATTTTTTGAAGCGTTTTCGGATAAAAACCGCAGCAGCCGGCTTCATTTCATTAGAAAAAGCAAAGAACTCCTGGGAATATTTCTGCTGATTTGGCAATGTCGTGGATTCGTGTCAAGCGCAGTTACGGCAAATTTCTTCGCTCAGTTCGCAACGCAAAAGTCATGCTACTCGGAATAGCTGTTGAGTGAAGTACCACGCTGAGGTTTCTAACCAAGATTACGCATCACATTCTAATTATCTTATCAATTATATAAACCAGTTCCCTGTTCCGTAAGTTTTAACTCCACTTCGTCCATTTCAGAAAACCATCCATTGTAACAGGGACCGGTCACCAAATTTTTTCGTGCCCTTTTCTTGACTACTTGACCGCAAAATGTACCTTATTATTACTGTTACCTGGCTTATCTTGATTGCGGAGATTACTCGTACGGTATGTACAGTATTTCGTTTATATTACGCATTTAACGCAAAAGTGTGCAGGAAGATCCATACGTTCAGCAGGGTTAAGATTGCGCATGGTTACTGCGCATTACTGATAGGTTTCGGTACTGGCCTGCACTCAGTGCACTGTATTGGCTTGATTTTAATAACCCTTGGATAATCTCCTGAATGCACTCGAGATGATATCAACACTGTATCCGGTTATTTCGCTTAGGTTACAAAACTGTCCAGCTGATTGTAAAACAATTTCCTGAATGTTATAATTATGCTTATACTTGTAGTTGTATGACTTATATTCATATTTTCTCACAACGCGACGTCCTGTATTCGTCATTGTTCTTGTGCATAACTCTCCTTAATGAAGTCACATTATTATAAGTTTGAAAACTGATGAAGAAATGCAGTCAGTGGACGAGTCTTTTGTTAGGTCATAAAATTAAGAATATTATTTAAAACCCAAAGCAACAGCTGCTCGTGTGAACTGATAACAGCAATGGAAGTTTGACTTCCGTGTTCGATATCAGTCTTTCGCCACCATCTTTCTAACTCTATCCCCAACGAGAACTGAATTCTCGAGATAAGTTTCATCGCTTTTATTTGTTACTTTATAGAAAGTACTAAGTAGTTTTGCAATAAAGTCCGAATTACTCACAAATTAAATAAATGGACACATGTACGTATAAAACGAGCGAGTTAAACCTGCTATTGCATAAAAATTATACATGAGAAACTCGTTTTTCCCAACAACACAATTATTTCGTATTATAGTTTATAAGAACCGCCAAACCGATATAAGTATATTGCGAGTGATTATTTCCAGTCACAGTGCTAACAACTGTCGCGTATAAGCGTTCACGCTGGTTAGAGCTCCAAGAACTATCTTTACTCTTCCACGCCTGTAAATGTCAGTCGGTAGGCAACTCTCATCTCAAACTGTAACAGATCAGCTATGGTGGAATAAGACGAACGACTCAGGAACACGAATCAGGAATCCCTAAGCGAAAAGACTAACCACAATCTCCGGTCGTAGGTTCTGTGAGGATCGGCCAGAGCAAGGTCGATTGTGACGCGAGCAAACCTGTGCACTCAGCGATAATCCGGGAACGACTATGCACTTCCGTAGGAACAAG